CTAGAAGAAGAAGAAGAAGAAGAAGAAGAAGAAGAAGAAGAAGAAGAAGAAGAAGAAGAAGAAGAAGAAGAAGAAGAAGAAGAAGAAGAAGAAGAAGAAGGAAGAAGACGAAGAAGAAGAGGAAGAAGAAGCGGAAGAAGAAAAACGACGATTGCAATAGCCACATATAAAGAAAAAAACCAACAACACCGTAATGATAATATTATATTACTTAGTACATTGGAAAAACAAATTAACTGCAATGGCTATGATGTTCGTCTTTCTAGGTCCAAAGATGACTATGCCTGCAGTTTGATGAATACGTACCTGTTGTGTCATTTCGGTTTACCCGACGTTATCTGATAAGGCCACTTGTGCCTGGACCAGCCACAAGCTAGAAAACGTTACAATTTACGGGCACATTTATGAGGTTACATTCGAATACATAATATGTTCCCTGAGGCGTTGCCACGAAAGCTGATTGTTGAAGAGCATAGACAAAATTAAATACTGACAAGACTGACACTCAATAAAGTCAAATATTCTACATAATTAACGGATTTGTTGGTGTCTGTATCGGACACTTAACAATTTGGAAATATTGATTAACTCTTATAATTTTTACAAGAGAAACAGTAGGTTCGGTAGCCTACTTGTCAGAACACCGAAATAGTAATTTTTTAGTTTGCGGGTTCGGAGGTTTGAGCCTCAGCTCAGTCCGATGTTGTGGCCTTGGGAAAGGCACTTTACACGAATTTCCCACGTGGCTCCGGTCCTTTCGGGGATGTACGTTAAATTTGGAGGTCCTACCTCTTAGAGAGAGTAACAGTGTTGAAAGGGGCGTTAAACCTGTACCATTTCACAATTTTTCATCAGAGAAAGGCCCCCAGTGTATCCATTGCACATTCTATTAACCCCTTCCATTGCTGAGATGTTTCATCTACGTTTGTACAGACGAGCTAAACGTAAATCATAGTGGTGGAATCAGGCGCTCGTCAAATCTTAGGGAAAGAAGAAAGCTGCACTGTTACGACTATTGAACAGTTTTATCGAATTTTTATTTTCTTCATTATTAAAGTATCTTTTCCCAGAAATAATATCTATTCATTAAAGAATACATTTTATTGTGACTTTACCTGAACACATTTTTAAACAGCTAAAAATAAGTTATTTTGTAGAAGGATTACAAGTATTCGGTTGTAGAAGTTATCAAACTTTGGCAGCCATTTTCTCTCTAATTTCACTTGTAACGTTAGGTAACCCACGCCTTCTTAAATCATCACGCTTATCGAGACCTCTTCTTCGAAGCAAGACAGATCAATATTTTTTTCCCGCCAAGTTCAAGGAAATTAAACGAGCTTTCATTTGATAGCAATAATCGTCCTTGCAATAACCCCATTGGCCAAAATTGACGAGCGCCTGATTTCACCACGCTGCCC